GGGGGGGGGGGGGGGGGGGGGGGGGGGGGGGGGGGGGGGGGGGGGGGGGGGGGGGGGGGGGGGGGGGGGGGGGGGGGGGGGGGGGGGGGGGGGGGGGGGGGGGGGGGGGGGGGGGGGGGGGGGGGGGGGGGGGGGACTTGACTGTATTCTTTTGACAAAGTTAATAGATAAAGAGCCTGATATCCTTACGGCATGTAATACTAGTTTGACTGACCTACAGAAACATAATCTATCCAGAAAATGAATAAAGTCAATCCATGTGATGAGATGAAAATGTCAATAGACAAGCAATCACCACTACTTACATTTTGAGAATTGGCATCGCTTCCTTCACTTGTACCTTCGCTAGCACTCTCACCACTACAAAAGACCAGATAGATTCATATTACCCAAGATTCCAATGGGCCGTCAATAAAAATTGTAGGACACCAGTTTTCAAGAATGTGAAGTTGATAATATCTAAAATCTTCAGTGATAGACAGTCCCTACAACAACGTTGTTCATGCAGCTGCAGAGTCCCCCCACCCGAAAAAGAAAAAAGGAGGTTAAATTTCATGGACATCACATAAAGCTTCCTGTTTCCAGAGTTCTACTTTGATCAGTTCCAATTACTCCCACTCCCCTGCAGGTATAATTCCGAGAACTTTTTACTCTTTTTTAAAAAAAGATCCGACGGCTTAAACCTTCACACCCAAGAAAATTTCAAGAATCTTGTGCATATATATGCTCCCTTGTTGTCAACCTATATTGCATATCGTTGGTTTGATCCCTCCTTAGTGGAAGGGAATGCCTTGACCCAGCATCCCCATGGCCACTATTTCGATTAGTTTGTTTGATGAATTATTTATCATTTCCTATAAAAAATAAATAAATTATATAGCATACACCATTATTAATCGACACGGACTGTGTTCCAGAAAAGATACAAAACCTTTTAGAGTACGCTCCATTGGCAGATATTCCAGATGTTTTACCAAGCTCATTGTTCTTCCCCGTAATCATGTTCAAACTGCCCAAACTTCCTTTTGATCTTTTAATTGGAAGCTTTTCCTTCACTTCAGGTGGCTTACCCTCCCCATCTAAGCTGCCTGCTGTATTACCCTATATACGTCTTCACATGTCATTTGTATTCACTTAAAAACAATGATAACTGATCATATAATAAGGAAAGAAAGAACTCACAGAGGCCTCAGTGATGCCATTTGGAGAGGGCATTGCAAATGGGCTAAAAGGATACGATCCCTATTATAAATATTAGAATGTGGCATACATAATGAAGTCAATCCATCAGACGAGAATATAACGGAAATTTTAACATAATAAAAAAAAGGTAACTTCATAATGCCCAGAAGTACCGGAGGAATGGAAGGATGAGCATATATGCCACCAGGGGGGTACATTGCAACATATGGATGTGGAGGCGTGCCATAAGGAGGCATAACATGCTGTAATTAAAAACCCACATTTAGATAAATACACATAATATGCAGGTAGTAGAGGATAGAACAAAGTCATATTCCTTAAAGTACTCTCCAGTTACAATTTTCGAAATACTGCACAAAGTTATCAGATACGGCATGGACCATTAGGTTGTCAATGAAACATAGATATCACTAAACAAAGAAAAATTACTTCAAGACACACAGGCTAAATATTAATAGCAGCGTCATAATAATAAGGAGAAAAAAAAAAGAATAATGCTAAACAGAGTTATGAAAACTCATTTCACAATCTGAATACAAGCAAATTACATTAACATGGGTCAAAACGCAGAAGATGTAATACACCTAAAAAACCAGTGCGTAGCCAATGTACCTGAACTCCCCACATATATGGGTGGGCTTGGGGGCTTGATGCCAAGAAACCATGCGGAGGCATCGGAGAATATGCCTGAAATCAAAAAGAACAAAAAAAATACAATGATCTAACCATAATTCTGTGCCAACCAACAAGATTAAACTAATTTTTTTACGCCAATCTGACCTGAAATCCCGACCAATCAGGATTAACTGCGCCAGCGCTAGTGGTTGAAGTCTGCTCCTATAAAACAACAACAATAAATTATCATATAGAACCTTGTGGACCAACTTTAAAGAAAATTAATCTAACACTTGGGATCTGTTTGCTTATATTTTCTGTGATAGAAAATTTGAAGCTGTTTTTATCACTGTTCTAAAAAAAGTGGTCAGGATCATGCAGAACCTGTGAGGAATGACTTCAAGGAAAGTGACACAAACACTATGGAACTGTTTGCTCATATGTTACATTTTCTGTGATAGAAAATTTTAATTTGTTTTTTAAAGAACTGTTCTATAAAAAAATAAACAAATAAACAAACAAACAAAGTGGTCAGGTTCCATTTAAAACATAATACTGATTTGATCTTGAAATTACTAACCATTAACACATACTTTTTTAAAAAAGAAGAACAACAACAATTCATGTGCAACAACATTCTAATGAAAAGCAAAGAGAATGAGTTAACAAAAAAGGGGAAAAAACCTGGGTGGTAAGCGGCGGTGTCTTGGTCTCCTTGTCTTTGGGTGGTTTCTCCATCTCACTGCTACTCATGGTTCAGCTTCACCATCTTCCAGCCATCCCCCAAGCCTTCAAACAACAAGAAACCTAATCCTTAAAACACTGTCGACTGACTTTGCCACAAACGCTCCTCGATGAATCCCCATGAACACAACCAACAACTTACTTCAAATTTAAAAACCGCAAAATTTTCGTTCCCACAATTCACAATCCCATTTCAATTGTCCAATTCGCAAGCAAACCAAACATAGAACATGAAGAATTCAAGAAATACAAGCACACTATTCCATTCCCTACATGCATGAAGCTAAACAAACAACGAACAAAACCAAAAACCCTAAAAAAAACGAGAAACGGCAGAACAACGCCCAAAATTCCAAATTGAACAAGGTAAATCTCTTCACTTACCAAAAGTCGAAACTTCAAACTCCACTGGGGGAAAAGAATTCGAGACCCAATTCAAGGAGGCTCCAAAGGTGATCAAACGACGAAAAGGAAGTCTTAATTGGATAATCAGTGCAGCAAGGCGAATCGAAGAACAGCGATGGCGAATAATGAAAGGAGAAAATTGGGAAGGATTGAAGTTCGGAGAAGAAGTGGAAAGTGGGAAGATCGGAAGAGGGATGTAGGAGGGGGACGATGAGGATGGTCGTACGGAATCACTGTCTCTCTCTCTCTCTCTTTCTCGAAGAAAAGTTGCGAAATCGCCGTCTCGCTCCTCAGCCTCAGGGCATGAGCCACTCCATTTTCTCTCTCTCATGGTTTCGGCATGACTGCGACTCATGGGCCGAAGCCCAAATCTGTGTTTCTTGTGAGCCCAAATTAATGGGCCTGGCCCATCATTATATGAAAATGGTGTAACTAATGGGTATTTATCGGCCCGACCAATTATTTTGATTATAATTTTTTAAAATACTTATTAAAAATATTTTAGTTTAATTAATTCGAGTGATTTTAGTTATTTGTTTAATTTTTAAAAAAATAAAAATATATGCAAAAAATAGTACATTAAGATATATATATATATATATATATATATATATATATATTTATTTATTTATTTATTTATGTATTTATTTATTTTAGTTTCCATAAAAAAATTTATAAACTTTCTTTTAAGAGCTTTTAGCATAACTAAATAGTTTTAAAATATAAAAAGTTAAAATAAATAATTTTAAACTATAAAAAAAATTAAAATTAATAAATGTATATATAATTATATAATAAACAATTTTTGATTGAGTTCAAATTAATTTTAAAAAAATTCTTAAACTAATTGAAAATTTCAATTATTTGAATTTAATTTAATTCAAATAAGTTCTGTATAAATAAATTAAAAAATTAGGTTGAAAATTAAATAAAACATTTTCTGAATTATTTCAAGCAGAGAGAAAGATTGGTCGCAATAAATAAATAAATAAAATGAAATTGGAAATTGGAAATTGGAATTGTAGCGCTGAAGCTCGTCTTCGAGCTTGAAATTGCAGGAGTCGGTGCTTAGAAATTCCAGAGATTTTTTCCCCTTAAAATGTCAATTTCGAATGCAATTCTACAGTTCTAGTTTCACACGGAGAAAATTGCCGAGCGTTGGGTTCTTGTAGTCTCTGAGTTGCTCTATTCTCTGTAAGTTCTCTTGAGTTTTTCGCAGTATAATTGCCTTTACGATTTTCTCAATTACGGAAGTTTTAATTCTTTGCTGTATCATTTTTCATAAGATTTGGTTCCATGTTAGAGTCTGTATAAATTTGAGATTACATCATTAAACCCTCATTATACGAATCGATTCTAGACTTTGTTCGATCAGTTGTTGTTGTTGTTTCTGATTTATGTTTGAATTCATTTTCGTAGGATTTTTGGTTCTTAATCGAGAAATAAGCGTTCAAGAGGAAGATATACGTAGTTTAGGTGTAAAATGATTGATCTGTTTCTGGCTGAGCCTGTCTTTAACGAAGAAGATGATGTTGGCTCTGCGAAGTTGAGAATTTCTTTGTTAAGCAGATTAGAATCTGTTTTATGGAAATTGCTGGCTTCTGGAGGACGGTCCGAGGTCCGATTATGGCTTTCTAATACTATAGCTAGTATGACATCTATCAGTCCCCAGCATCAGCGAGAACTGTTCATGACCTTTCTGAGATCGAAGCCACTGAAGTGGGACTTTGCATCTCACTTACTGCAAATGTTCTTTGAAAAGAGACAACGAGAAGCAGGAGTTCTCATTGCCAAGAGAAGCTACATCATGGAGAAGTTTTTTGAAGGTTAGAGTTTTTAATACTCAATTGTCAAATTTAGCACTGGCAGTTCCATTTGCTTGCAAGAACACTTAACTAAATCTTCATTCTTTCAAATTGCTTTACTGGAAAATAATAACCCGAAGCTTGTTCTTGAGGACCCACGGATAAGGAATCAACCCAAAGGAAAACTCTGATGTCAAATGTTTTGAAAAACTTGGATTTGATCTAAAAACATTGTTAAAGAACGAGAACTCTAGATCTAAAGTATCCAAGAATCTCAAAAACGATAAGAATCAACTCAAAGAAAAGTTTTGGAACGGATTACCTTATGATCAAGATCAAAAGTAAAGAAAACTCGTTCCTAAACTCGTGATTCGAATCACTCCACAAGATAGTTTGATCAAGATTACTTGAGTGACTCTAGCATGTAAATCTAAACACAAGTAATGCAACGGAACAAGCTCATGGCTTAAGAAGCATAATATGCAACTTTCATTCGTACCACCCGAACTATGTGTTTTTTGGGTATATGTAGATGTAAGAAGTATGGACATGAATGTGAAACATGGACACAACACAGCTCGGACATGTATTAGAATATAAATTTTAAATACACATTATTTTTATACATCTCAATTCTCTTGCTAAGAGTCTGTTTTAGTTGAAGATGCTCTTGCATTTATGACACAATGCTTTATGTTATCAGTGTTGTTAATGAAATGCATGCTTCTCGAAAACGAAATTCAAAGTCGATATTACTTTTGCATTTATATGTATTTCATTGTAAAAGTCTGTTATAGTTTCCTTGTCTATCAACGGATTTTATCTTTAACTTAAGACATTGCAACTGCTTCCTTTGACAGGGGAGTTTGTTTATTAATGACACAACAGACTATTCAATTGCAATAGAATGGTTTGCTAGTTCTGTCTTTGATGATTTGCTTTTTCGCTTTCCATGCAGATTCCTGATCATGCTATCGCTCCTTGATTCTGCAGGAAACCCAAGACGAATATCTCAGTGGTTTTCGAATTTTGCTACAAATGGTGCATCTGATCATGGAAAAGGTGCCAAGGCCTTGGCACAGTTTTCTTTTGTAAATCGAGACATTTGCTGGGAGGAGCTTGAGTGGAACGGGAAACACGGGCAGTCTCCTGCCGTGGTTGCGACAAAGCCCCATTATTTTCTTGATCTGGATGTGCATCAAACTGTGAAGAATTTCATTAAGAATGTACCTGAGTTTTGGTATTCCAATGAGTTTTCCGAGTCACTAAAAGATGGTGAAATTTTGTTCCTCGATACAAAATTCTTCGTGAAATATCTCTTCGATCAAATGCTTAAAGATGATTCAAGAGATGTTTGGGATGCCATTAATGAGTTCCTAACGCAGGAGCCATTTTCTTCATTATGTCAACACCTCCTTATTACTCTTGAAGAAGCTGATTTCTGCTGCTTTCTAAAAATGCTATGTAAACTCCTCCGCCCCAGTAGGGAAACCAAGGATTTTGGTAATTCATCTTTTCTGTTTGAGGTCGTACTTTCTAAATATGGTGACGCTGAATCTCTAGATCAGATTTTACTATTAAACGCTGTCATTAATCAAGGACGCCAACTTCTACGGTTTGTACAAGATGAAGATGCAGAGGAAGAATTGGATGAAATCAAGACTATTATTTACGAGATTTCAGCAATCTCAAGCAACACTCATAGCTTATCCCCGCTATTGAAAGAGTGCTACAGGAGAAAAAAGACAATAGAGGTGATAAAATGGCTAGGGCTTCAGTCTTGGGTTCTTCACTATAGAATGTCAGATGAATGTCAAACTTCTGAGTTATGGGAATCCTTGTTTGTTGATAATGGCATATGCTTCCGAAAATCTAATGAATATGCATTGTTAGATCACAGCTGTCTATCAGAAGATGATGGTTTTGAACCGTGTAATACAGCATCAGTTAAATCTAAGAAGCGAAAAAGAGGGAAAAAAGGTAGAAAAAGAAGAAAAAGGGACTTTGACGATGAGGATAGCTGCGACGATGAGCTGTTGGACTTTGATATTAAAAGGGATAAAACGGATTTGAAGTTAAACACTGGAAGTTGGTTGCTTTCCATTGACAACTATACCGTACCATGGAATGCTGTAAGTACACTTATCATCAACCCTCATTTTTGTGTCTGATTTTTAGATTAATGTGAATGGTCATGGTATGGGGATACAGGCTTGAGAAGTGACTTTGAATATGTTTACTTACCAATTTATCTGGGCAACCATTTATTTCTTGGGCCTTAGATTCTTCCTTGGTTGTGGCTTGTGTACCTTTCATAGTTTAAATGAAGGATGGTCCTGAGTCAATTCTTTGTTTAATGCCACATTAGTTCATATCAAACTTTTACGGTCAGTTCTTAAAGAACTAAAGTTTTCAATAGAAGAGAGCTCCTATTCCCAATACACAATCTGGCTGAGGAGGTATTATTCCTGTTAGACGAACACGACTCTCCACAATGGTATGATATTGTCCACTTTGAGCATAAGCTCTCATGGCTTTGCTTTGGGCTCCCCCAAAAGGCCTCATACCAATGGAGAGAGTATTAATTGTTTATAAACCCATGATCATTCCCTAAATTAGCCGACGTGGGACTTTCATCATCCAACACTTCCCCTCGAACAAAGTACGCCTCTCCTTAATCAAGGCTCAACTTCTTTAGAGTCTTAGTCATTTTTTACTGCCTTCGAAGAGGCTTGACTCCTTTTCTTCTGGAGTCCTTTGTTCGACATTTGAGGATTTACCAATCTATTGGCACGACTAAGTTTAGGGCATGACTCTGATACCATGTTAGACGAACACGACTCTCCACAATGGTATGATATTGTCCACTTTGAGCATAAGCTCTCATGGCTTTGCTTTGGGCTCCCCCAAAAGGCCTCATACCAATGGAGAGAGTATTAATTGTTTATAAACCCATGATCATTCCCTAAATTAGCCGACGTGGGACTTTCATCATCCAACACTTCCCCTCGAACAAAGTACGCCTCTCCTTAATCAAGGCTCAACTTCTTTAGAGTCTTAGTCATTTTTTACTGCCTTCGAAGAGGCTTGACTCCTTTTCTTCTGGAGTCCTTTGTTCGACATTTGAGGATTTACCAATCTATTGGCACGACTAAGTTTAGGGCATGACTCTGATACCATGTTAGACGAACACGACTCTCCACAATGGTATGATATTGTCCACTTTGAGCATAAGCTCTCATGGCTTTGCTTTGGGCTTCCCCAAAAGGCCTCATACCAATGGAGAGAGTATTCTTTGTTTATAAACCCATGATCATTCCTTAAATTAGCCAATGTGGGACTTTCATCATCCAACAATTCCATCCCCATTAAAAGAAAAGGGGGAGTTTTGTGGAATTTGGTATTTTACCAATTTTGTGGAACATCTAACTCGAGAGAAACAAGGGGTTACTTAAGGGGAGGAGTCATCTTAGAAAGGTTTGGTCCACAAAGATTCAATACGGTCCAAAGATTCAATACCCCTCCCGGTGTTGGTGCTTAAAAAGTTTTGTATTTATCCTCTGTTACTTGTTCTAAACAGTTGGAACTTTTTCTTTAAGTTTTTTTCCCATTCTTTTTGTTGTTGCTCCATTTGATGTGGGCTATGTCTTTTCAGTTGCTCTATATAGAATTTTTATTTAAAAATAACACAAATGCATGTTATCTGAAGCTTTGCACATTACAAATCTGCATTTGATCCTATGGTTATTATGAAATACTTTATTACATACAATATTTTTTATAAGAAGCGAACGTCATGTTCTGGTGTACGTTTGTTCAATCGATTTTGCTCTTTTGCATAATCCATTTATTCAAAGAAATTAGTTCCTTGAGGAAGGAAACAGTTTCTGCAGTTCTCTGATTATATTCCTCTCTTGTAGATTGATCTACCAGAATACCTATCAAAGCAATGTATGGCTTCATGGATGAAATGGCTGTTTACTAACCGAGAATGAAGAATGAAGCTTTGCTAGTAGTGTGAAATATATCCAGCATTCGGAAGGAGGCTGGTTACGATCTTCGGAAACCGTGATGTCGCAACAAGATCACTGTTACCAACAGATGTAATCGCGATCAAATGAATTGGTAAGGCAAGGGATCATGTGATGACCACAGGCTCGTTGTACTATACATGGTACCAAGTTCTCTTAATAGCCTTTTTGTTCAATATATTTCTGTCATAGAATACAATCAATAATGTCAACTAACGAACTACATCTGAATTGTATCATTGTTCTTTAACTGTATGCTGTTGCTGATCAGAAGAATATATATATATATATATATATATATATATATATATATATGAGGATTAGAAGCTCGTATTAGCTAGGCTGAACCCCTTCCTCTTGTTCGCCTATAAGATCATCCATCCCTGGTAACTCTTGAACTCAAAAGTTCCTTCAGGTCTTACTCATTAATTCCTCGGATTCAGAATTTGCCACTTTTACTGCCTTTTTTGGTAGAAGCAATGTGTTTAGTCTTGGAATTGTTTGTATATAGAGTATGAACTCAAATTCTAATTTTAGTTCACTAAATTGTTGGTTCTGGTGGTTTATCTTGTTCTAGTGATAAAAATCTCTCATTACTGCACCACATTTTGTAGATGTAGCATCTACGGATATTATGATTCACTTAAGAATCAAAATCTCTAAACCCATGTGCTCGGATGAAAGTCAGCCTTAGTAATCCGACGATGCCGAGTGGAAGGGTCGTTGCTCAATAGATAAAAGTTACTCTACAGGTAACAAGCTGATCTTCTCCAAGAGCTCACATCAACGGGAAGGTTTGACACCTGGATGTCAGCTCTTCGTCACCTGGGGTTGTTGTATGTTCCAAGGGTTGGATTGTTCGCCCATTAAAGTGGTACGTGACAGAAGGCTTGATCCTCATTGAACTTTGTCTCCAGCTTTGGGGTTCAAATCCGAGCAAAGCGCATAAATGAAGGGGGAAATACAACCTTACTTGAACAGGATTTGCTTTTTAGACTATGCGGGTGCATCCCGACCTCGAGTTCTAAGAAGGGGGAAGTAGAATCGACAATGGAGGGGATGGTAAGTGTAAAATGATTTTTTTTTTTTTTTTTTTTTTTTTTTTTTTTTTTTTTTTTTTTTTTTTTTTTT